CCCTCCTCGCCATGCACCAAAAGAAGGAGAAACCAAAGGCACAGCAAATTATAATGCCATTGAAATAACAGATGGAAACCAGCTGTTAGGTCACACCAAATCCATCCCTGCTGTGGGGCAGCGCAGGACAGGTCCCTGCAGTGTCTTCTTCAGGGCTCTATCTACTCCAGGTTTAAATGACTCAACTGATGGGAGACACAGTCAGACTCACTGTAGGAAATACTTTCTAATATCCATCCAGAATCCTTCCCTTTGCTCATGGTCATCTCTCTCTCCCCTCTCCCCCATCTAAGTCTTATTTCACTTAATGTTTATGCTCTGTTAAAACAAATATTGATTCATTTAAGGTTGGCGGGGGCCTTCCAGACCATTCCCCTCCGTCGTGGCAGGACTGAGTTCACTGTCCCTAAACCATCCCCAATAGTTGGGCTTCTAGTGTCTGCCTTGATCTCCAGAGATAGTGATTCCACATCATTCCTTAGCAGCTTGTCCCATCCCCCAGGCTGTTCAGAGTTTCCTGAACACAGTAAGAATAATGGTTCCTCAGCAAGCACCGGGGGGAGACCCTCTCTGCTCCATTAGTTTTTCTTCCCTGTCTTGACCAGAAATCTTCAAAGTGCACTTTGCAACTTTGTTGGCTGCAGTCAATCTGGGTCCTACACCTTGAATTCCTTGAGGCCAGGTACCTGAGACTTACTCACATCTCATAAAGATTTATTAATCACTGAAAAATTACTATAGGACTCTTTGTGACTGTCCCTGTTGTGGAAATCACCATCAATAACCTGTAATCCTTCTATATCCTCATTACAAGGGGGCTGGTGCAATCAAAAAACTGTTGTTAGTAAGTACATTGACCCTGGGGAGAACTGTTTGCCAGTGACAACACAATGGCCATTTTTCAGGATTATGAAGGCAACCTTGTTTTGTCTATCATATCAAAGTTGGGGACTCCAAATCCAAACAGAGGGCCTACATGGGAGTATCCCCCAAAAGCGTTTTATTGTGTTTGAACCACATGCATTAGACCTGGTTTTCTATTGTCAGTAAGCAGCATCTTCTTCTGGGATTTTTGGATTCTCATTGCACTAAGCTTTCCCATTGGTTAAATGATCCCTTTTCCTAGGATAGCTGTGCCAAGAAGTCTGCCCCATTTGGTCTGTTGTTAGGGGCCCTGTGTCCCAATGGATGGAAAAAGAGCAACTGGGAATTAGAGCACAAGGCATCTGGGAGCACGGCTTGGGATAAAACGGATCGTTTGTTTGTTGTTCTATTTTGTCTGTTAAAAATATCATGCATATTTGTTTGTTACCTTGTCATCCCAGACAAAACATGTGTATGTTCAATCCCAAAGAGACCAGAGTTACTGAAGTTAATGGACTCTGGTTTGATCCCTACACACTATTGTTTGTGCTATCTAAAACATGATTGTAACTCAGTCCCCTCTGGATAGATGTGCTGATGCATGTGTTGGTTTTTAATGTTCTGTAGCCCCAGAATAACTAGCTCTCTAGGGGAATACTTACACCTTTGTGGATCAGAGAGATTTTTCAGAGGTTGTTATATTAATGCAAATTTAGGATACACAAATATATCACAGCCCCTCACCCTTCCTAATTCTTTGCCAGGGCAGCCCCATTGTCCACATATATTACATTCATTCAGCAACCCACAAGGAATTTTATGTCCTTACCTAGAACAGTGAGTTTAGTCCCTTCTCCGAAGTAGGCTGGGTAATTGGCACACTGGGAAAACACCAGCTCAATAACCAAAGGGGGACGTGGATGGGGGGGTTATTCCCAAAAGGGGAAGATCTGGGATTTCAAGGGATTATAAAGAAAAATGGGATTTTCTTACCTAACACAGTGAGTTTTGTGCCTGCGCCAAAATAGACTTTATCGTTGGTCACGGTGACAAGGGGCTGCATCATAAGCAGAAGAAAGGGACATGCTGCAGGTGATGTGGACAGACATAGGAGGTGTTTACTTTATCTAAAATCCCAGAGATGTGAGGGCCACTCAGCCCCGGTTTAGTGACCATTGGCATAAAAACAGTTCACATTGCTTATGTGCAACACTTAGCATTCACTAGAGCACTGTTCATTATTTATTGATCCTCTTATTGTTTTATTTATATTTCACACTCCAATTGCTTTATAGACATTATCTAAATCAGTAGTTCTCAAACTTTTGTACTGGTGACCCCTTTAACATAGCAAGCCTCTGAGTGCGACCCCCCCCTTATAAATTAAAAACACTTTTTTATATATTTAACACCATTATAAATGCAGGATACAAAGCGGGGTTTGGGGTGGAGACTGACAGCTCGCAACCCCCCATGTAATAGCCTCGTGACCCCCTGAGGGGTCCCAACCCCCAGTTTGAGAACCCCTGATCAAACAGTCCTCACCTACCCCTGTGAGATCAATACATATTGTCCCCATTTTATAGATGGGGAAACTGATGTGCCCAAGGTTATCAAGCAAGTCAGTGACAGTGCCAAGAACAGAACCTCCTGGTGACTAGTAGCTCCAGATTCCCAGTCCTGTGCTCCAAGGAGTAGGCAGCCATTCGCTCTGTAACTAGTGGGTGTACAATGGTCAATGAAGTAGTTACTTAATGGAACCTAGGAATAACTATAAACAGGTGCTTGCAAAGAGTGTGATGTTTTCACCTTTTTATCCCTGAATTAAAGCAAAGAGCTCCTGATTTCATCTCCTCTACTGTCAGAGTGCCAAAGTCCTAGGAAGACCCTGATAGAACACTATGGGGTTTCCTAATAGATTAAAGAAATCAATCCAAAGCCCCAAAGACAGTCCAGGAGGTTCAGTCGCTGAGAGTCTAACTTCTGCCATCCCTGAGTTAATAATGAGGAGGGTCAAAGAGAAGCCTTGAGCCTGTCACTATGATCAGCCAAGCCCAAAGGATACCGGAAGCTGAACTGGAGAGTGAAAGATCCAACGGAGTTTTACAGTTACATCGCTACTGCCTCTGTGTTTTGCATCCGACACAGCAAGTCATGTTTCTATCAGGTCTCTGTTATGTTTTGGATTGTCTTTTTCTGGGAGGGTTTTCACATGAATAAAGGGACACTTATTGCAAGACTTTATCACATCAGCAAAAGTCTCTCCCACTTGCACTGACATGCATTTTAGGTATACCCCAGCTGAATCAGTTTGGTTCACATATGTTTTAGCTCCAACCCAGGACTGGCTGTCCTACCAAACATAAATACTTCTCTGGTAGAATATGCAGGCAGAGCTGCTGATCTTTCTGTTGCCTCCCCGCTGGAGTGGAGCCAAATGCTCTCGATACATCCCAGACAGAACCCATGCTGTGCTGCAGTCTTCTAGGCATATCAGGCCCAGGTGGAGAGTCCCTGCTGCGCGGTAGAATGGTCTAAGTATGCCCCAGATGCAATCCACCTGCCTCGCTGCCGCACACGCGAGGCACAGCCCAGGGAGCATGTGCCTGCCCTGCTGCAGACTGCGCTATTGCTGTCCTGGTACACTCTCAAACGGGAAACCCACCGGGAGGTTTTTGTAAAGGCCCCCCTAGGGAATGTATCACCGTGGGCCCCCTGTCCCCACAACGTTACAATCTCATACAAAAACAATCCCACCCAAGGCTCCACCCCTCCAGGACTTCAGCCAATTACTATCAGAGAGCTTCTCTGAAACCACAATCTATTTCCTCAGCTGCTCCGTTACTGCATTTGTGGAGGAAAGTGTGTGTGTGTGTGTGTGTGTGTGTGTGTGTGTATAAAGGAAGGATTACGTCTAACTTTAGCCATCTCTTCATAACACATATTTTTAGCAGAAGCCTTATTGCATGGCTAGAATAAGTCAGTGGCAAGCTTTTTCGTTAGTGAGCTGTTTTCAGAGACAGCTATTTTCTACCTCCACAGCATTCTGTGTGTTCCTGTTGCACCCCCTTCTCCCTCTGCCTTTCCCATTCCCTGTGAGATTGGCAACCCATGTTCAAATCTACCATAGATCTGATAGCACTGAGCCATGAGGCCCTGTGCACACCTGCCAGATGGGAGCCTTTGTTCACAGCTTTTCCCGAGCCTTGATATTTTCTCTGAAAACCTGGGCTGTGTTGTATGTGTTTATGCCCAGAGTGTGAGCGCAGTGCTAGAGAGATGCGCTAGATTGACTGTCCCTGGAGTCTCAGGCTTCTGTTTACCCTCGGAGTGGCAAACCTCGGAGTGGCATACCACAGGCAGTGGCAATGCAGGTTTCTTTCACTCCCTGTGTGTTGCAGTCCCTACCCTGAAGAGATCTCATCTGGGAACATGAAGAGAGCTGAGCCGCCGTGGCCCATTCAGTCCTTCACTTTTTTCCTGAGACGATCAGTAATGTGGTCAAGCAACAGAGATGATGATCGATTCTGTGAAGCACCACCGTTATATAGACGTTCTGGGTGGGCATGAGGTCAGGTCACATGACATCCCGTTTACCTACATCACACATAAAATAGCCTTTGGAAGTGAGCCCTTCCCCAGAGGCTGATTTACAGGGCACTTGTGGTGCATCCCAGGAAGGAAGATGTCATGTCAGCTAAGTCTAAAACCTGCACACACTGAGCCAGCCAAGGGAAGGGGTGGACACATAAAAAAGCTGTAACAGAATCATCCAGTAGGGGGCATACCCGCCACCCCCAAGCCAGTCCAGCCCTCTTACCTATTGGACCAGCTCTTCTCAGGCAGCCAGAACTAGGAAGCGATACACACACAAGAAACCCTGACATAGCCTATTCAGCAGGGAGCAGCCGGTAAGGCCTCAGCAGGTGTGCAGAGGAGAGAGGGGCTAGCAGCAGTACTTAGCATCAGGGCAGAGGGATCCAGCTGGGCATTTGGGATGCTGGTGAAATGCAGTGCTTAAAGAGTGTGTGTGTGTGTGTGTGTGCGCGTGTGCACACGGGTGTCGCAAGGGGGTCACAGATTTGCCCTCCATAAATAGAGCTGGGTTGTTAAGGGGCACACCTTAACAGTCTTACCAAAGCCGCCATTCCCACATTGTGATAGAGACACACTTTTTTCAGACCAATTTAAGCACTGGCTCGATGAGTGCTACGTGTGCGTCTCTGCAGTAACGAAGGGTTTTCAGCACTAGTGAAATGTGAGCATCTCTGCAGCAGCAAATGTTCTGCACCACCAAAGCTACATGCTTCTGCACAAGTGGGGGCCACTAGCCTGTGGGAACAATTGTGTGTGTTTGCCTTTTCAAAGTGGATTACATTAAAAAACTACTATTTGGGGACATTATCGAACTGTCCATTTGTCACTGTCTTGTCTCTGGACAGTGACGAGACAGTGTCTTATCTGTCTTTGCCTTTCTGTCTCTCTAGCTATTATACAGGGACCATTATCACAACAGCGAAGTCTCTGGACTACTACTGCTACTTTATTAATAATAATAACAACAACTATTATTCTTATTATTATATAAAGAGGCATTTGCATTATTTGTATTCAGAGCCCCAGTCATGCACCAGGACTGCATTGTGCCAGGTGCTGCACAAACACAGAACAAAAAGACCCTAAGGAGCTTACAATCTAAGTGTAAACCAAGAGAAAACAGATGGCTACAGTAAGTACAAGGAAACTATAAAACAATATTGGTCAGCATGACAGGCTGTGGTTTCTGCACAGCAGCAGCGTAACCGTTGTCAAGTTTTTTGTAGTCAGGGAAAAGGACAGTTTTCAGGATAATAATGAAGTGACTTTGTGGCTGTTAATGTCCTTAATGACAGGTTTCAGAGGAACAGCCGTGTTAGTCTGTATTCGCAAAAAGAAAAGGAGTACTTGTGGCACCTTAGAGACTAACCAATTTATTTGAGCATGAGCTTTCGTGAGCTACAGCTCACTTCATCAGATGTATACCGTGGAAACTGCAGCAGACTTTATATACACACAGAGAATATGAAACAATACCTCCTCCCACCCCACTGTCCTGCTGGTAATAGCTTATCTAAAGTGATCAACAGGTGGGCCATTTCCAGCACAAATCCAGGTTTTCTCACCCTCCACCCCCCCACACAAATTCACTCTCCTGCTGGTGCTAGCCCATCCAAAATGTCACTAATGAGCCCCAGCCCACAAGCTACGTGTCCTCTGAGTTGGAGATCTTTTGGCCAATCACTTTGCTCCCTTTGTTTCAATTTAACTTTGTATCATGAGTTCCTGTGGATAATGTTGGCGCTTCACTTGGATGTTAACTTTAAGAGGTAATTCTCCAGAGCACCAGCAGAGGGAAACCTTCCTCCACTTTGGGTTTGAAATTGTCAAGGTTTCAGATTGTATGTGTGACAGTCAGAGGTACAGGAGTGAAAGTGTATCCGTAGGCGCGGGAACTAGGGGTGCGGGACCTGCTGCAGCACCCCCAGGTTTTGTTCTGGGTCCCAGCCACTGGCATCATGCCCAGGGTCCCGGTGCTGCCAGCCCTGCGCCTGGGGCTCTGCTCCTGGCCATGCACCTGGGGTCCTGTTGCTGGCCCCTCTCCCAGCCTCAGCCTCCTTACTCCTGTCCAGGCCCTCCACTCCCGGAGCCATGGCCGGGTTCTGGCCTCAGCTCTGGGGAGAGGAGACATGGACAGGGGCAAGGGGGGTGGGACATAAAAAGTTTGGGGACCACTGGCTTTCAGCACCCCCAGTGTAAAAAGTGTTCCAGCACCACTGAGTGTATCCTGCATGAATTCAAAGAGGAGACAGGGAGAGAGAGAGACATAAAAGGATGAGGTGGAAGAGAGGGCTTCAGATATGTTTTGTGTACCTTCAGGGGAACTGCTGCAGGCAAGACATCTTAAATGTATTTCAATGAGGAGAAGGGACCACAAGTACACAAATAAATGGTACAAAACTGAGCAAAGGGGAGACATTTCTGGAAATATTTTCTAACAGATCTGTTAGATTGTGGAATGGTGTCCCAGGGACATGGTGGCCCCATCACTCAGGTCATTTAGAACAGCACTGGACTCAGCACTAGAGAATACATTTTATAGGACAATCCTGCATTGTCTGGAGGGAGTGGGGAGGGGAAGAGAGAGAGAGAGAGAGAGAGAGAGAGAAGAGAGAGAGGCCTGTTCTGTTTCTGTCTGTGTTTTGCCTCCTATTGTGGATCAGTCTTTAGGGCTAACAGTCACCACTTTGCTCAACTACTAAATCTCATTTTAAAAGACTCAGGAACCATTTTGTATGTTTAAGAGAAGTCCTGGCCATAGTCCATCCTGAATAAATGCAGGCTCCCTAAATTTCCCCCAGCAGGTACAACTGGATCCACTATCCTGCCTCACTTCCTGAGCTAGTTTGTCATGCACAGTATTGCTGTGTGCTGTGCTTCACTCAAATATGGATGACTTCAATGCTGGGACAGTGATTCCATTATGCACCATCTATATGGCACTATAGGAATGAGAGATGCTAGGGAACAGTAAGGTGTTGTTATGAAAAACCCTGAGGAAAAAAACACTGGCACCAAGAAAGCACTTGCTACACCTAATATATCTTTTTATTTGTGCTATGTACTTTTCAAAGATGAATTAAAGGGGGAGGGAAGGAAATGTCACCAGGAAACCAGCAGGAGATGGATGTCTCAGTTGGCAGCAATGGTCTTCTCGATCCAGTTAACATAGTTGCAGACCTTGGTGTAGACTCCAGGGTAACCCTGCAGAGCACACCCAATCCCCCAGGACACAATTCCTTGGAGCTCACCGTTGCACACAACTGGGCCACCAGAATCGCCCTGTGAGGGAAAGGATTTGGATGTTACAGACATGAGCTAATTCAGGCAGAGGAATCTATTCAGCTCATCAGGAAAGGTTTCAACTAGCTGCAGGTGAATCTTGAAAGCACTAGGTAAGAGCAGCAGAGTCCATATGCTCTGATATGTCTGATGGGCAGGGAATAGGGGATAGCTCAAAATTCCCAGTTTCCTCTGTTGACCATCACGCACCTAACACACATCAGCAGTACCTGGAACTAAAATGCTAACTGTGGTAAAAGCCTAATATATCCAAATCTGCTGATCTGAGACTGGATTGGAAGCAGACACCTGTCTCTGTCCTTGTTTTGTCCATCCTGTTCATCCCCAGCCTCAATCAGAGACTGAACTGCATTTATAATCCAGAGGTGAAATGCCCTGTAGTTCACAGCTTGATCCCTTGAGCCATCCAGTTTACACCCCCAACACACACCCTCCAAACTCTTGAGCACATTCTTTTCCTCATCACATCTTGTGATTAATTCTTCGCAGGTTTTCAGAGTTCTGGCACTTAGGCTAGAACAGGAGGGACAAGAGCAGCTGAGCCCCGTCTCTGCAGAACAAGAGAAAATGAAAGGCAGCTCACCTGGCAGGAGTCTTTGCCACCCTCGGGGAATCCCACGCAGATCATGTTTTCAGTGATTTCCCCTGGGTAAGCAGCACTGCACACAGCGTTAGTCAGGACTGGAGCATCCAGACACTGGAGAAGCTCGGGGTAGTTAGCTGCCAACAGAGAGAGGAGAACACTAAGATTCATCTGAGAAAGCAGACAGGCCAATTAATACAAAGACTTATAGATTTCCAGGCTAGAGAATCCAATAAAGAAGAGGCCAGTAAGAACTACTGCACCATCTCTGAGGAGGACCTCAATGACTAGAATAGAATAACAGGGGTTATTTCAGGGCAGGTCTGAGGGGCATTGGCAGAGCTGTGTGGGGAGCCCAGCACTGGAATAGCAGGGGGTGCTGCTAGTAAGGAGTGAGGGTAATTGGCACAGCTGAGCGTGTGGACCCAAAGACTGCAAGAGCAAAAAGAGCTGCAGGTCAAGACTGGGATATATCTGGGTCCCATATCTGTAATAATAAGATAAGGGTGCTGTGTGTCATGTGTGAGGCACATTCATACTTACAGCCACTACTGAGGGTGTTTCCCCACCCAGAAATCAGACACTGAGTCCCAGCAGCCACACAAGCAGAGGGAAGAGGGATGGTTGCGACACGGGAGTTCAAGTTAGCTTGGGTTGCCAGCTTGATCAGCATAATGTCATTATCCAGGATCCATGAATTGTATTTGGGGTGGCGAATTATTTTAACGGCGCTGATGAACTGCTCGTCCCCTTCCAACACATCGATGTTGTGTTCCCCGAGCCTCACCTCGATGCGGCTGCAAAATCAACCAGGCAACATGGAGGGCAGTTAACCACAAATATCATGACGAGATGTGACCACTAGGTGGCACTACATAGTTCAGTGCACTGTGCAGTGATGACATTCAAATTCTGTCATAGATCACAAGTGAAATAATTGTGACTGGCTTTCATAATAGTCTTCGTATTGAACTCAAACCAATGGGCCATTGAGTTTGGTATCCCACCTGCATCAGGGGCACAAGCTAGATGCTTCCGAGTAAAGTCTTAAATCCTTCTATTGAGCCTAATTGTGTAAGAGCATACCAGGAAGAGGAATTTTGATGCTGATCCCAAATAGTGAGTGACAGATGTCCAGAAGCAGGAGGACTGATTCTTGCTCTGGTTGAATATTTGTTTACATGACACAGTAACAGTGAAATTCATGAGCTCTGTCAGTTCTAATAATAAAAGATAGAGATGGGAAATCCGTACCTGTCCAGTAGATCTCCAGCTATGGCCCAGGGTGAAAAGAAAGAAAGGTTCTGAGAACCCATTGGTGGGGTGTGTACAGGAGAGGACCCTTCACTTGTGAAATGCTCTGCAGAATGAGTATGCTGGAGAATGCCTGATTTAGACCATCCCCCAGAGTCAGCTCAGGATGGTTCTTACAGCACGCAACCAGCTAAGCTCTCCGGATCCTTCCTGAACCCAGGAATGGTGACTGGTTTAGTTTCTTTAGTGTTGTGGATGTAGCAATAACATATTACATTTCACTAGCAAACTTTTATCCCAAGATCAAATATGTCCCTGAAGGTGGATCCAGTTCTGTCCTCAGCCAGTATGAACTGCAATGGCAATTGCATCTGGATACTCAAGGGCAGAACTAGGCTCTGTATAGAAAGTATACATAGGGATCACGTCACCCCGTCCACAGATGTATAGCCATCTCAGGGAAGCATGGGGCAGCTGTCTAGCAATACCTAGCAGCGTTACTTCACACTTTAGGTCAGGAAATAAAGAAGAAGAATGGGTCCAACTGAAAATTCTGGGAGAAATAAAGGAGAACAGAAAGTAATTAACAATTTTGGAAACTGGCCTGAACAGATGGACTGTCAACCCTACTACAGAGAAAAGTGTCTTGGGAACTTTCATGGTGGTCAGAAACACCTCCTGACACCATGCTTGGGCACTGGGAAGTCACTCTGCAACATGGATTTTCCTTTATTGTTCTGCTGTCCACGTACTGGGCAGGTCTGATTAGATCTGACAAGATCTCAGGCAGAGGCTGCATGGCCACAGGCAATACATAATGTTTTAACCTTCACTCACGATTTGTAGCAGTGAGCAGCTGACACGACCCATTGGTTGTTGATGAGGGAGCCCCCGCAGAAGTGGTATCCAGAGTTCAGGGACACCTGGTAGGGGACAGAGCAGGTGTAGCCCCCCACGATTTTGTCATCATCATCAACAGGGACAGCAACTGAGGGAAATGGGGAAATCAGGTGTTAAAAAAATAACTTGGAACCCAGTGACTTGAAATGCACCAGCAGCTAATGAGCAGCAAATTATTTAACCATACCCTTAAAAGCTTTGGTTTACAGGAGTCTTCTCCACATCCCTAAAGCCCTTCCCTCCTCAAATTTTCCATGTTTCATGCCCAACACCCTCTAAGGCAGGGGTGGGCAAACTTTTTGTCCTGAGGGACACATCTGGATGGGGAAATTGTAAGCTGAGTAAGTATCCGAGTGTGTGTTTGCTGGGAGGGCAGTGTGAAAGCCTGAGCGAGTGCCTGATTGGGTGGTAGCCTGCAGGGGGAGGGCATTGGGGCTGTCTGTTTGTTTGTTTCAGGGAAGCCTGGCTGTTTAAAAATAGCCAGAGCTCCGCGAACCAGCTGAGCGGCGGGAAACAGCAGAGCATCACACAGCAGGAGTTTGCCTGGAGTGAGCTCAGTGAGGCTTATATCTTGCCAACTTCTCTGAGGAAGCTCATAGTAGGAAGGTGATACGGAAGGGGGGGGTTCAGCTATTGTGACCTGCACTGGATGTGCCATGTTTGTCTTTCTTCCACAGGACAGAAGCGACTTTGTCTGTACAAAGTGCAAGCTGGTCTCCATATTGGAAGACAAGGTTCAAGATCTGGAGCAACAGATAACGACCCTGCATTGCATACGAGAATCTGAGGATTTTCTGGACAAAAGTCAGGATATGCTTCTACGGGCACAAAGCTCTAAAGATTTAGAGCAGGTTGCACACCAGAGCCAAGAGGCCAGTGAAGAAGCTTGGCAACATGTGACCTCCAGAAGAAGAAGGGGGAATGTCCGGGTTCCAGCAACGCGGACACAGGTAACTAACCGCTTTCATGTTCTCTCCACAGGTACCATTGCGGAGAGTGGACCTAATGAGACGTCTGGGGGGAGAAAGCAGAAGGAGACTCCGCTAGTTGGAAGGCATGAGATGCACTGTCCTGAGGTTGGGGGTTCCACGACCACCACTCCCAAGAGAAGGAGGCGGGTGGTGGTGGTCGGGGAATCTCTCCTCGGGGGGAATGAGTCATCTATCTGCCACCCTGACAAGGAAAACCGGGAAGTCTGCTGCTTGCCAGGGGCTAAGATTCACGATGTGACGGAGAGACTGCCGAGACTCATCAAGCCCTCGGATCGCTACCCCTTCCTGCTTCTCCATGTGGGCACCAATGATACTGCCAAGAATGACCTTGAGCAGATCACTGCGGACTACGTGGCTCTGGGAACAAGGATAAAGGAGTTTGAGGTGCAAGTGGTGTTCTCGTCCATCCTCCCCGTGAAAGGAAAAGGCCTGGGTAGGGACCGTCGAATCATGGAAGTCAACGAATGGCTACGCAGGTGGTGTCGGAGAGAAGGCTTTGGATTCTTTGACCATGGGATGGTGTTCCACGAAGGAGGAGTGCTGGGCAGAGACGGGCTCCACCTTACGAAGAGAGGGAAGAGCATCTTTGCGAGCAGGCTGGCTAACCTAGTGAGGAGGGCTTTAAACTAGGTTCACCGGGGGAAGGAGACCAAAGCCCTGAGGTAAGTGGGAAAGCAGTATACCGGGAGGAAGCACAGGCAGGAACGTCTGTGAGGGGAGGGCTCCTGCCTCATACTGAGAATGAGGGGCGATCAGCAGGTTATCTCAAGTGCTTATATACGAATGCACAAAGCCTTGGAAACAAGCAGGGAGAACTGGAGGTCCTGGTGATGTCAAGGAATTATGATGTGATTGGAATAACAGAGACTTGGTGGGATAACTCACATGACTGGAGTACTGTCATGGATGGTTATAAACTGTTCAGGAAGGACAGGCAGGGCAGAAAAGGTGGGGGAGTAGCACTGTATGTAAGGGGGCAGTATGACTGCTCAGAGCTCCGGTACGAAACTGCAGAAAAACCTGAGTGTCTCTGAATTAAGTTTAGAAGTGTGAGCAACAAGAGTGATGTAGTGGTGAGAGTCTGCTATAGACCACCGGACCAGGGCGATGAGGTGGATGAGGCTTTCTTCCGGCAACTCGCAGAAGCTACTAGATCGCATGCCCTGGTTCTCATGGGTGACTTTAATTTTCCTGATATCTGCTGGGAGAGCAATACAGCGGTGCATAGACAACCCAGGAAGCTTTTGGAAAATATAGGGGACAATTTCCTGGTGCAAGTGCTAGAGGAGCCAACTAGGGGGGGAGCTTTTCTTGACCTGCTGTTCACAAACCGGGAAGAATTAGTGGGGGAAGCAAAAGTGGATGGGAATCTGGGAGGCAGTGACCATGAGTTGGTTGAGTTCAGGATCCTGACACCGGGAAGAGAGGTAAGCAGCAGGATACGGACCCTGGACTCCAGGAAAGCAGACTTCGACTCCCTCAGGGAACGGATGGGTAGGATCCCTTGGGGGACTAATATGAAGGGGAAAGGAGTCCAGGAGAGCTGGCTGTATTTCAAGGAATCCCTGTTGAAGTTACAGGGACAAACCATCCCGATGTGTCGAAAGAATAGTAAATATGGCAGGCGACCAGCTTGGCTTAACGGTGAAATCCTAGCAGATCTTAAACATAAAAAAGAAGCTTACAAGAAGTGGAAGGTTGGACATATGACCAGGGAAGAGTATAAAAATATTGCTCGGGCATGTAGGAATGAAATCAGGAGGGCCAAATCGTACCTGGAGCTGCAGCTAGCAAGAGATGTCAAGAGTAACAAGAAGGGTTTCTTCTGGTATGTTGGCAACAAGAAGAAAGCCAAGAAAAGTGTGGGCCCCTTACTGAATGAGGGAGGCAACCTCATTCCAACCTAGTGACAGAGGATGTGGAAAAAGCTAATGTACTCAATGCTTTTTTTGCTTCTGTCTTCACTAACAAGGTTAGCTCCCAGACTGCGGCACTGGGCATCACAGCATGGGGAGTAGATGGCCAGCCCTCTGTGGAGAAAGAGATGGTTACGGACTATTTAGAAAAGCTGGACGTGCACAAGTCCATGGGGCCGGACGCGTTGCATCTGAGAGTGCTAAAGGAATTGGCAGCTGTGATTGCAGAGCCATTGGCCATTATCTTTGAAAACTCGTGGCGAACAGGGGAAGTCCCAGATGGCTGGAAAAAGGCTAATGTAGTGCCAATCTTTAAAAAGGGGAAGAAGGAGGATCCTGGGAACTACAGGCCAGTCAGCCTCACCTCAGTCCCCGGAAAAGTCATGGAGCAGGTCCTCAGGAAATCAATCCTGAAGCACTTACATGAGAGGAAAGTGATCAGGAACAGTTAGCATGGATTCACCAAGGGAAGGTCATGCCTGACTAATCTAATCACCTTCTATGATGAGATTACTGGTTCTGTGGATGAAGGGAAAGCAGTGGATGTATTGTTTCTTGACTTTAGCAAAGCTTTTGACACGGTCTCCCACAGTATTCTTGTCAGCAAGTTAAAGAAGTATGGGCTGGATGAATGCACTATAAGGTGGGTAGAAAGTTGGCTAGATTGTCGGGCTCAACGGGTAGTGATCAATGGCTCCATGTCTAGTTGGCAGCCGGTGTCAAGTGGAGTGCCCCAGGGGTCGGTCCTGGGGCCAGTTTTGTTCAATATCTTCATAAATGATCTGGAGGATGGTGTGGATTGCACTCTCCGCAAATTTGAGGATGATACTAAACTAGGGGGAGAGGTAGATACGCTGGAGGGCAGGGATAGGATACAGAGGGACCTAGACAAATTGGAGGATTGGGCCAAAAGAAATCTGATGAGGTTCAATAAGGATAAGTGCAGGGTCCTGCACTTAGGACAGAAGAACCCAATGCATCGCTACAGACTAGGGACGTAATGGCTAGGCAGCAGTTCTGCAGAAAAGGATCTAGGGGTGACAGTGGACGAGAAGCTGGATATGAGTCAACAGTGTGCCCTTGTTGCCAAGAAGGCCAATGGCATTTTGGGATGTATAAGTAGAGGCATAGCCAGCAGATCGAGGGACGTGATCGTCCCCCTCTATTCGACATTGGTGAGGCCTCATCTGGAGTACTGTGTCCAGTTTTGGGCCCCACACTACAAGAAGTATGTGGATAAATTGGAGAGAGTCCAGCGAAGGGTAACAAAAATTATTAGGGGTCTGCAACACATGACTTATGAGGAGAGGCTGAGGGAACTGGGATTGTTTAGTCTGCAGAAGAGAAGAATGAGGGGGGATTTGATAGCTGCTTTCAACTACCTGAGAGGTGGTTCCAGAGAGGATGGTTCTAGACTATTCTCAATGGTAGAAGAGGACAGGACAAGGAGTAATGGTCTCAAGTTGCAGTGGGGGAGGTTTAGGTTAGATATTAGGAAAAACTTTTTCACTAGGAGGGTGGTGAAACACTGGAATGCGTTACCTAGGGAGGTGGTAGAATCTTCTTCCTTAGAAGTTTTTAAGGTCAGGCTTGACAAAGCCCTGGCTGGGATGATTTAATTGGGGATTGGTCCTGCTTTGAGCAGGGGGTTGCACTAGATGACCTCCTGAGTTCCCTTCCAACCCTGATATTCTATGATTCTATGATTCTATGATTCTAAGCAGGGCCACGAATGTAGGGCTGGGGTAGGGGGTTGCAGTGCAGGAGGGAGTGTGGGAGGTGGGAGGGGGTGCGGTGTGCAGGAAAAGGTTCTGGGCAAGGGGTTGGGATGCAGGAGAGGTGCAGGAGGGGGATCAGGGTAGGGGTTGGGGTGTAGGAGGAGTATGGGGTGTGGCAGGGGGCTCAGGGCAGGGGCTTGGGGTACGGGGCGCAGGAGGGGTTTGGGGTGTGGGCTCCAGCCCAGTGCGGCTTACCTTGAGCAGCTCCGGGGTGGCAACAGCATGCAGTGGGGCTAATTTGGGCTCCCTGCCTGGCCTGGCCCCACGCCACTCCGAGAAGTGGCCAGCATGTCTGGCAGCAGCTCCTGGGGTAGGATGGGGCAGGCAGCTATGCTGCACATGGCCCTCACCTGCGGTACCACCCTGAAGCTCCCATTGGCTGCGATTCCCTGTTCCCAGCCAATGCAAGCTGCGGGGGCAGTGCCTGCCGGCGAGGGCTTCGCGCAGATCCCTCCACTCCCCGCTACCCCAGGGGCTGCAGGGACGTGGTGCTGGCCGCTTCTGGAAGTGGCGCGGGGCCAGGGCAAGTAGGGAGCCTGCCTTAGTCCCACTGGGCCATAGGGCTGGCAATCCCACCTGCTAGATTGAAAGCCCTGACAGGCCGGATCTGGCCCGCGGGCCATAGTTTGCCCTCCCCTGCTCTAAAGCATGAAGCTGTAACAACTATCCCGGTTCTGGAAGAAAACAAGTTTGGGCTCACCAATTCTGCTCCTTCATTGCCCAGTAAAATAATGATGGGGATTTCTCTCATATCTCCAACCCTGAAAGACCTCAAAGTGTTTTACAAACTATATATATATATGGGAATTACTGCACCCACCACTAAAGGACTGCCATGGAACATGATAGCTGTTTAACAGTGAACAGAAACAATAAACATCAGTTTAGGGCAAGAAATGAAGAAGAATGTCAAGACCAATTGAAACTGCCAATGGAATTTTTTGTTTCATTGCAAGGAGACAGAAGTACAAAGAGAGAAGACAGAGGGAGAGAAAGAGAGAGAGAGAGAGAAACAGTGTGGCAGAGAGGGAGCAGAAATTTAGAAGTCTGAAGGGGGCCGGAAAAGGGAGAAAAGCGGAAAGGGAGACAGAAGGGACAGACTGAAAGAGAGACAGAGAGATAGGGAAATCTAAAGAAAAGAGGAAAGCGTTAGGTTTGTGGTAGAGCACCAATGGTCCCTGGAGAGAATCAGAGGATCAAGAGAATTAAACTGCTTTGGAAGACTCACCTGCTGCTCCTAGGCAGGCAAGAATCAGGAGAAACTTCATGGTGTCGCTGTTAGTGAGCACTGTCAGCTGTGACAGGTTTTGCTGAAGAAATCACCCCCTTTATACCTCCCAGAGGGTGTTATCTCCCCAACCCAAAGTCCTATCAGGTTTCCACTTCCCAAGGTCTTACATCAGTTCAGACAAATATAGTTACCTTATCAATCTAAAAAGGTAATAAAGTGACTGCGGTGCCACAGAGATCGAAACAAGCATTTCATGAAATTAAAAGAGAAAATGTCCAACTCTATACAGCACTGCTGATGTGCCTTAGTCCTGCCTTGCACACGTCTGCTATTTCAGTCCTGGGCTCCCCACACAGCTCTGCCAATGCCCCTCAGTCCTGCTCTGCAACCCCATGCTATGCCAGTCCTGGGCTCCTGTGATGAATGTGGAAATTGTTGGCAATATTTTTATGTCCATAGGTGTAGCTTGGTTTCCCTGTGAGCTTTGTATTGCCATACACTGAGTGTAAAGGGAAGCAATGGGTGTTTGAGTCACTTTAGCTGCATGGATGGAGACGAGAATTATTAACATGATCTACATATGACCTGCAAATGTAAATGGTGGATCCGGAGGAGACAAAGGAAGAGCCGGTGACCAGAATTTTAGCACCTAGCAACTGAGAGTCCAAGGCTGGTTGGCCATGTGAACTCAGTGTGGCTTGCAGCAGGAGGACACTAGACAAAAGGTATGAGGAGCCTGGGCTAAGAAGAGGGTTCACAGACAAACAGTGGGAAATTTGGGACAGGCACAGGGACAAAGGTCTGCGGGAGAGTGAAGATGGAGCTCAGGAAGAAGGAGAGCATGGCAAAGCCCTGGCTTCCACTGCCATGAACTCTGTCCTAAGCCAGCCTCTCTCATGCTAACATGAAGACTTTTGGTGCTGTATTCCAGGTGACTAAAAAGGTTATGTTATTATCAAAAGAGTGCCTGGTGTTGCTGCAGATACTTACTGAAGAGCATTGCACCCTGAAGGAGCGGAAAAGGCTCTCACAGGAGTCTGGCTCAGCTGGACTTGCTCCAGAGAGACAGAGAGAGACAGGGCTTGCTGGCACCTGAAGGCCCAGTTTCAGAGTCATGGAGGCTATGGGCCTGCCCTTGTGGAACACTGTGGATCTTGGGATCCAGCTCACTAAAGGGGTTACTCCCAGGAGACTGGTTAAAAACCATGGCATAGTGCAGAACCTTTGAGTACATTGCAGTTCCCCACACCATTCTGCCAATGACCCTCAGTCCTACCCTGCAGGACCTCTTGCCATCTGAGTCATGGGGCTTGTAGCAACCTGCATGGTATTTGGAGGGAGGAGCACAAGTTGTCAGGAAGTCAGTCTATGTGCACATGGCTGGAATGCTAGCTGCAGCTGCAGCATCTCTGTAAATAGTTCTCTTAATAAAGAGCCCATTTAGTTTTACAAGCATGGAGTCCTTTCATGTTTTTGCCCAGCACATGGGACATGAAACAGGGTCCCCCACAACTCCTTTGAAGCATCTGAATTCTGACCTGCAGCACCATCTGTTAACTTAATTATCACTTGCAGTGTGTTTGGCTATTTCAGTCACGTGAACCTTCAGAACTCTGCTAAAGCCACTCTGTGCTGACCCCTGCTCTTTGAAACCCATCTTGGGCCTCTATTGAACAGTCACTACAAAATCCTGTGGTAGAGCTTTTGTGATATTCACAAATGAGAGACATGTATGAGACTCAACAAGCTCAATTAATTTGTAATCTCAGATACCATGTGAAGTATCATCCCAACAGGAAAATATGCAGTGAATGGTTCCCATTTGTCTCCCCACCGGCATCCGGAAAGGACCTAAAGTCCACAGTGATTAGTTTTGCATGAGTCAAGCAATGTTACCTTGTTGGAGTAGGAGATTGGGAGTCAGTCACTATTCCCAGCTCTGTCACTGAATTGCTGTGTGTTTTTGGTCAGATTTGTCTGTGCCTCCAATTTCCTCCTTTCTAATAATGCCCATCTCAGAGGTGTGTTCTAAGGCTTAATTAATGCATGTAGAGCAGTTTGAGAAAGGTGATTTCTAAATGGAAGAGTTTACCTTGGATAAAGCCAGGTAGGGCAAATGAGGTGAGGGAAAATTTCATTACACCAAACCTGCCTTTCCATATTAAAGTACAAACTAAACAGCAAGGTCAGAGATTAATTGACATTTCTTCTGACGAGCACAAGGGAGATGTGAACTTGAATAACTATCTTTCCAGCACTTCCAGATTCTCCTTTGCTGGACTTCACCCCCCAACCTCCAATAGCACTGTGACAGTGCACCCCATAAATGGAAATATACTTTTGAATGTATATATATGACATAACTGGAATATGTTTTATGCTACATATGCCATATAACATATCTATGTAAAGGTTATGATACACTGAATATATTCATCCTATTTGTATGCATGTGTCATTGTTGTATTAGAAGTTATGAATATTGGCTGTATACTTGTTTGATTTTAAATAGCCTTAGTAAGGCATTTGGTCAGCTTCTTTAGAAAGGAATTTGCAAGTTAAGTGCCCAATCAAGAAGCACATAATGGACAATGGATCTTGGAAGGCTCCAATCCACATAAGAAGTCTGCATGAGAACGTTCAAGGTAGCATGTGAACCATGGCTGCTACCTGTAAGTTCTGAGTCTTGCATGGACATGTGACTTGCCCATGTGACTCCAAAACTCCATCTTGTAGCTGGAATTCCACACAGGGGGAGGGAGGGGTATCCATCCACAAGAGAAAGTCTATTTAAACCCCTGGGAGACCTCTCCATTTTGTCTTCAGCTGGCTCAAGAGATAACCTCTCCACCCCAAAGGATACCTGAAAGAAATTGGAACAAAGGACAGTAACTACAGGGGGTGTGAGTGATTGCTGGACCCAGACCAGAAGGAGACTAGTCTGTAAAAGGAAGCTTACTGGAACACCTCTGAGGGTGAGGTTTTATCTGTATTCAGTTTTCTTACTGTATTAGACATATACCTGTGTGTTCTATTTTATTTTGCTTGGTAATTCACTTTGTTCTGACTGCTATTACTTGGAACCACTTAAATCCTACTTTCTGTATTTAATAAAATCTCTTTTTACTTATTAATTAACCCAGAGTATGTATTAATACCTGGGGTGGGGGCACGAACAGCTGTGCATATCTCTCTATCAGTGTTATAGAGAGTGAACAATTTATGAGTTTACCCTGTATAAGCTTTATACAAGGTAAAATGGATTTATTTGGGGTTTGGACCCCATTGGGAGTTGGGCATCTGAGTGTTAAAGACAGGAACACTTCCTAATCTGCTTACAGTTAAGCCTACAGCTGTTAGGGGACGTGGTTCAGACCTGGGTCTGGATTTGCAGCTGGCTAGTGGGTCTGGCTCAAACCAGGCAGGGCACTGAAGTCCCCAGCTGGGAGGGCAGGAAAGCAGGGGCAGAAGTAGTCTTGGCACATCAGTTGGCAGCCCCAAGGGGGTTTCTGGGATCCAACCTGTCACAAGCACCATTATGTCCTTGGGGGTTAATGTGCAGGCACAGGAGCAAAAGCCACCCTCCTCTTAAGTGACAGGTCTTCAGCACTCCCCAAGCCTGGTGAGATGGGGTTCGTAGCAGCATCATTTGCACACCTCTGATCAACATTGGTCCTGCCCCTTCTGTCTCCTACCTCCTTCTGCCTCATTTCCATGCACAAAGAGTGAAATGTACCATTTGTAAAGCTCTTAGATTCTGTGGAGATGAGAGCTGTAGGAAAGCCCATGAAGAAATTCAGAATTCTGTTTTCAGTGCAGGCTTTGATAAAAAAGGCAGGTGTTACTTAATGAATGATGAACATAAAAAGAAAAGTTGAACAGCTGCCTCATTCCCTGAGCACCATCCATTCTGTGGCAGGTGTTGTGTGGAAAAATAGCATGTGATCATGTAATCATTGCATCACACTATATGTATGATAGTGCATACGTACAAGGGGTTGAATTGAGGCTGCACTGGCAACTGTAATTCAAGGATTTCTCAGCTTTAGAATTTTTAACATGTTTTGTAGAAAATTATATAAATAATTTCTTATCTTATTCTCCATGGAGTTGGCCAACACTACCACGTGGATGTAATGGTGTCCATGAGAGATAAAGCACCTGGATGAGATACAGCTGGCTGAAATTCAACACAGGTGAGCTGGAAGTGAAGCTGGAAAACAATTTGAGGAGCCTGCAAAACCCATAATTGGGCCCTTCATTGAGGGCATCTGTCTAAAGGCTAGTCTTGTCCCTCTTCTTTGGGAACCAGGTGGTCCAGGAACAACTCTCCCCCTGTGGAGAGACAGGAGATTACACCCATTGCTTGAGGAGCAGGGATCTATCAACCCTGTTCCTCATGTTGGTCTAGTCACGGCTGGAAAACTGTAACACCTTTTACCTGGAGTTATCAGTGTAGGTCACAGAGAAACTTAGGCTTGTCCAGCTCTGCCCTTGAGCCTGAGAGATGCTAAGCACTGATTTCCATAGGAGTTGGGTATATGGTGTATCTACCTATTGTGACAGGGCAAGGCCAGATGGCTATAGGAAAGTAGTGAGAAACAGGTATGTAAACCCCAGGCTAAACAAATCCCTGTTACCATGGTAACCAAATGGCAGTTGCTCCAGGTTAATCAAGACACCTGGGGCTAATTGGGATCCTTCCAAAAAGCAGTGGAGACAGCTAGGTTGGTTGGGACAGGGGGCTGGCTGAAACTAGTTAAAAACCTCCCAGTTAGTCAGGTGGGAGGGTGCATGTCAGGAGCTGTAGGAGGAAGTTGTGCTGTTGGAAAGACTGAGCAGTACACACCATATCAGGCACAAGGAAGGCAGCCCTGAGGTAAGGGTGAGGTGGATCTTGAGGAAGGGGGGGCTGCTGTGGGGAAGTAGCCCAGGGAATTGTACGCATCCTGTTTCTAAAAAGTCAGCTACCATAGCTGATACTATTAGGGTCCCTGGGCTGGAACCCAGAGTAGAGGGTGGGCCCGGGCTCCCCCC